ACCTCATAAGCACTAATCTACATGAGACCTAAAGCTTACGTTAACTGTTCAATTCTGTATTTTATGTTTTCTTTATAAAGGCATGAGACAGAGTGTATGCCAATGCCCCTATATGAGGAATACCCCTATTATATAGCAGCTTTCCTTTTCTGTTGGTGCTTAATAGTACTCTGATGAGTAGTGCGTGGAAAACTGTAAACACTTATCACTTTATTCCCATTCAAAACTGCTTTTGAGATTATTTTCAAGATTTAATGTGATTTAAGTGGTATTCATGTAGTTACTTAAAGATAGTGATCAAAAAGGGAACAGCATTTTCTGTAAGAATCATCATATCTTTTAACTAAGAAGTTAACAAATACCAAATTAGATTGTAAATGTTTGCTAAGATGATTACTAATGGTATTTTCTCCCTGTGGATGGTGACCAGTGTGTGCATGTCACGTATATGCATAGTTGTAGATCATGACATCAGGAAGGGCAGATGCTGCTCTTCTACACTGGCAAGTCCTTCTGTTTCTTAGGCAGCCTGTTTTCAGGGCTGGGCCTCAGGTGGTGACGTTTACCTTTGGCTTCCTGCTGGTCCATGAGCATGTGACCGTGTTGGTATTTCTCTCTAAAGGACCATCGACAACGTAATATTGTAATTTTCAACAGTGAGACCTTTGCTTTGGACATGTAGCTCCAGTCATCAATTGCAACATGGAATTCTGGGGCAGGGACATATGGCAGAAGTAAGGAGGGTATTACAGTCATTCAACAAATTATGGGGTGTCTGTTAAGTACAAAGCAAGGAGTTGGTGGCTACAGAGATGGCTGTTCAGAAAAAAATCACTGTCTCTGCCAAAAGGTAGCTTAATTAAATAAATATACAGTCAAGTGGACCATCATTGTGCTGTCTTTAAGTGCTGACTTTTCATAAATGTAGTAAAGGAGCCATGGACTCAACGGAAAAAGGTGAGGAATTATCGAATGAGCAAAAGATGCGACAAAATTAGAAAAGAGACCCAGGAAGATCTATGTGGAGGATAGTAATAAGACTCCTTTAAAAACTACAACTGATATAAAACAAGCAAAAGCATGTTCTTCAGTTGGTATATATTTGAACCTGTAAAATGAATCACAGTATCCTAGAAAGCATGAAAAGTTACCATAAGGAATAAAGAAGACAGCTAACGTTTTAATAGTGTTTTTACTTTCTTATTACTCTTAAAACAAATAAAAGATTTATTCAGTGTTATTAAGAACACATACACAATATTACAATTAACATTTTCTCCCTACTGGAAATGTCAAAACATTTCACTGGAAGCAATAACTATTTTCTGAAAACCCCAGGAAAAAGATTCCAGGCCTTATGGTTTTTTTTGTCTGATCTCATTTATTTATCTCAAATTTCCCAAGCCTAATATGAAAATTAACCTTTCAATAAAGCAGTTTTCTTTTTTGGCAAATGCACATGTTTCAAAGTCTCTTTTTCTGGTTAAGAGCTGCATGTTGAATCCATTCGATTTTGCAGTTTTGCCCACTGCATTTCCTGGCTCCCTCTCTTTTTCATTAAAGGCAGAAATCCAAGCAATTTCTTGCTTCTCATCAGTAACAATATCAACTAAAATCAGAGACTCAACTTTTATTCCAAAGGAACACTTAAAAATAATTTTCAGAAATCTCTAAATATGCTTGAAAAATTGGACAGTTATTCTCCCCTGAAACTGGATGTAAACACTGCAATGAAAAAGGAAAGAATAGCTGCTGAAACACTTTCTCTCACTTTTTACTAAACATCTGAAAGGTCAACAGCATTTTTATTGAATTAAAAAAATCCTGAATCCCCTCAGAAATCTTTACATTAAAAAAATTTTCAAAACATATTTAAGAGAGCTCACTTCCTCCCTAATGTTTACTGTTTGGAGAAAACAGAACAAAACATTCTGAAACACACTCCACACCAAATGGGAATACTCTTTACTTGTAATGAATGCACAAAACTCTCATTACTAGTAGTTGAAAATGGAGCTCAACACTCACATTGAATTTGAAATATGGCCCCTCACATCGTGACAGAAGCAATCACATCTGTCACCTGTGATCAGTCTTGCATGCTTCTTTGTAAAGTCAATAAAGCAATCTAAACATATTATGTGTCACAAATGGGGTAAGCTTCAGTGAGGTTGTTGTCTTATTTTCTTGATTGCCTGCTCTAATTATTTAAAGAGCAGCTTAAGAGTTATTTCACTTATTATGCATCCAACTGCCTTAAATAAACTCAGGAGGACCTTAATAATTCTGATTAGAAGTGTTTCTATATATATATGCCTAGGTGTGACTCATAGAAAGTCCGCTTTAATAATTATGGGATGAAACTTTAGCATCAAGATTGTTAAAAGAAGTTCTGAGGTTATTTGTATAAGTAGCAACATTTGAGAGCCACTTGTTCCACTAAGTGTCTGACCCCAGTCCCTTCAGCAAGGAGCAGGGAATCCTGTGGACTAGCTCCTTTTTCTTCATTTGCAATTTCACCACATATTTCCCTTAGTTCTTAGCAATTTACCCTCCACACTTCAACCAGGCTTCACCCGCCTTTTAGTTACCCAGTCAAGCAGAGGAGGCAGCACAAAAGGAGGCACGCCAGGAAAGAACGAAATCCAAGCAGAAGTGTAATAAACTCAGGATGGGGCACAGGAGTAATCTGCCTAGGGTGCCAGGGATGGCTTCACAGAAGAGGTGACCAGTGAGCTGGAAGAGTATGTAGGACATCATCAGTGGAGGCCTAAGATACCAAATGGCTGAGCAGAAATGTCTTAGGAAGGGTGCTATCAACTAACTGTACTTGCAAAAAGGCACATAAAGAAAGATAACTGATAGGCCTTAAAGCAACTGGTCAGAGCCTTTTAACTTCTACTCTAATGACTGTTCTTACTTTCTGTTTTAGTAATTGAACCTCTAAATTTTAGTTGGGCTCATGGCCCCTGAGAAAAAATCTGTTTCCCATTTGTCAATATGTGTCTGTGTGACTAACTTCTGACCAATGAGACATAATAGAAGTGTTGCAAGGCAATTTCCAGGAAACTTAAAAGACACAGTAAAAGACAACTGGTGCATTCCATTTGCCTCTCGTTTGTTTCGACTTTCTGCTCCCTGCAATGACTGGCGTCCCAGCCACCATGTTGGTCCATGAGAGTGAGGGCTATACTCTAGGGATTGTGGAAGAATGATTTGGAAAATTCTAGGTTGCTGAAATACACAGAATTGCCATACTAGCTCTGGACTGCCAACTTATGGACTTCTTTTTTTCTCAAGAGACAGAAATAAACTTATTTAGGTCACAGTTTTCTTTTTTGTAAAACAGAGATAACAGTACTCACTTCACTGGTTATTGTGAAGATTAAGTGAGTTTATATAAGTAATGCACTTGGAATGATGACTGGCCTAGTAAGTGACAATTGTACATACATAATAATTATATACATATATTATATATATACTATGTATATATATTTCTTAGGTCTTGTCTTGGGCTACTTCTCAGTCTACACTCTAGGTCAGAGGTCAGCAATCCTCAGCCTGTGGGCCAAACATGACCCACCACCTGTTTTGTAAATAAAGTTTACTGGAATACAGCTTTTATTTGTTACATATTTTCTGTGGCTGCTTTTGTGCTATCATGGCAGAGGTGAGTAGTTGCAAGAGAGACCTTATAGCCTGCTCAAAATATTTACCACCTGGTATTTTGGAGAAAAAGTTCGCCAAGCCCTGCTCTAGGTGATCTCATCTTGTCTCAGTTTTAAATACTAATTATGTGCAACATCCATGTGGATATCTCCATCCCAGATGTCTCCTCTGAAACCAGGATCCTATATCCGACCATCAACTGGACATCTCCATTTGCCCAACCAACGGGCATCTCCAACTTAATTTCTAAAATCTGTTCCTCTCACAGTAGTCCCATCTTGGCACCACCATCCACCTGGGAGCTTAAGCAAATAGCCTTCAAGCCAACTCTTTTCTTCCCTTCACTACCTAAATCCAATCCATTAGTAAGTTCATTGGTTCTTCCTCCAAAATATATGTTTAATCCAACTACTTCCTTCTCTCCGTTGCCATCATCGCAGTCCAAACCATCATCATCTCCTAACTGGACTCCTTTCCGGCTTCCTCGTTAGCTTTGGGCCACTTTAATATTTTCTTGACAGAGCCACCAAAGAGTGATGTTTTACAGGCTGCAAATCAGATAATGTTTCTTCCTTGTTTAAAACCTTCAGTGGCTTTGCACTGTATTTAGAACAAAATCCAAACCTCTACCAAAAGGTGGTCCTTCCCCACTTCTCATCAATCCTCCTGCTTCCTTGACAGAAACCAAAACAGCATCCTCACTGTTCCTTGAGCACGCCAAGTTTTTGCCTGCCTCAATTCAAGGACGCTGCACATGTTCTTCCCTCTGATACATTCCTCCCTTCAGCTCTTCACAGGACAGAGCCCTTCTCATTCATTTGGATGGAGCCTAAATGACACTTTGTGTGTCAGGAACCTCTTGATTCCATCGGAGACCTGAAAGCCCTGACACTCTTCACATACATAACAACACTTGCTCGCTCAGAAAAAAGATGGAGGACTCTCTGTGCACCAAAATCCATGTGCATTAAAAAAAAAAAGATAAAACGTTACATATTGCAATAAGTGGATTATCTTAGGCTTGAAAGTTCCTGGGAGATATCTGTCTGTCTAAAATTGATCCAGTTTGTTCTTTTATATCTTCGTTACAAGAGAACAGAGATAGAGCTGTTTATTAAACCCACCTCAGTTGAGGTTATGGAATTACAGATAAAGATCATCAGTGCCAATCACCTCTGCCCCAGAAAAGATTATGAAAAGGATTGAGACATTTCCTGCCCCTGGAAGTAACTACTCAAATTCAGGAAAGTTCCCTTTAAAAATGTAAAGAAGCACGAGTCTCGATCTTACCACTGAAGTGCTGAAACTACTACATTTTGGCATCTACTACATTTTGGCAGAAACTAAAGAGGTGCACAAAAACTTTTCGACCATGTTTTCTTGGATTGTTGAGGTCTGGAATCTTTGGACTCACTGTTTTTGAAAAGGATGTCAAATTAGTTCAAGTCCAGAGATGGGAGCAGGGCAAGCTCCTGGAACTTCCGGACCACTCAACTTGAAAGCAACCCTCCCTCCAAACCCTAACACATATGGAACATTTATGGAGGCTGAGACCTGTTTTAGGTTGTCTTAGGATCCTCGGATATTACAGCAGGAACTTCTGAGCTATGCATTCCACATGTATTTTATCTGATTATGAGAAAATGGAATCCCAAAGAGATGAAGTGACTTGTCATATGGTAGGCTGTAGCTTTTGGGGCCATGACCCACTCCTGCGTTGACTGTATCATTTCTCCTACTGTAGGTGGGGCCTTTATTTTCCCAACTGGGCCTAGTGTTGTAGGATTAAACAGGTGCTGTGGAGGAAAGGGAGTAAAGGAGCTTGTCTCAGGCCTGGGGATTGACTCTCCCTTCTCAGGATTTCTGCCAAATTATATAAAGCCTTGAGTCACTAGATCATGCAACACTCGAATCATTTTAGAAACTTTGACTTCCTCAATCCTGAGAGTGTTAATTAGCATGACTCCTCCTCCCCTACCAGTACTGTAATGGTGTAATTCTTGTTAAATGAACACCATGGCTACTGGGTTAGTATTCAGATGGTGTTCCCTAAGTGGTCCCATAATACAGTCCCAAGAGATGATCTAAAGAGAAAACAATAAAGTGAGATTTTATGATCAAATGAGTTTGGGAAATGACAAATGATATGCTCCTCTCTTGGAGATTCACATGCACACAACTTTGAATGACTTTGTGTAACAGCATTTCCTAAACATTCCTGATCATAGAACCCTGTGTGTATCGTGTAACATTTGTTACAAGTGTTCCATGAAACATACTTTGAAAAACCTAGTCATCTGCTCTGTTGGATATATATGCTGTAAGTTAAGGCACAGATACATAACAGTGTATTTCTCAGATTACACACCAAGAACAGAGAGAAGAAATCTGCTGAAGGGGAGTGTCCTTTTTCGGGTCTTAACCAAGGAGGAAAGCTGCCGGCCAGGAGGTGGGCTGGACACATGGAAATGCAAATCCCCAGGTGGGCACAGGACAAGCCCAGGGCCTCTTGGGCTCTTGAATTAAGTCTGCTTTGGTAAGAATAGAAACTCAAAGCTCTTCTCTTTTAAAATATATTGTACACTGAATTTGTTTCTAATTTTTTCCTTTGGCATTTCATAAAAGCTTTTGATAGTTCTAGCCTGTTGCAGCTCTACAAAAGGGCACCAAGGGGAGACTTTTGTTCACCATAATCTATCACCAAGCGGAATATGCTTTTACAAACATGTGCTTGAAAAAGTAACAGTGTTTTACTAGTATAAAGGGAATGGATTCTGATCTGGTGCAGTGGGAAAAAAATGGCCCTGATTAGAACATTGAAGCAGGAACAAGACACTCTTAGGACCAAGCTGACGGAAGCAGGCCCAATAATTGAACTGAGAGATTTCCAAAGGGCAAGAGACTCTCATCAAGGCAGTCCTGGTGGCTTCCTCAACCTGGACACCCTCTTTGTGGGTCTAAATTTTGGAGCTGCATGTTTTATTTCACAAAGGTGGAATAATTGCCTCAGCACATTCGTGCAAAAGATACCACAAACTTAGTGACAGCAGCCTTTTACTGGATGAAATATGTCCATTTCTAGGATGAGCAAGTTAAAGAGAACAGTCCTTTGTGGTTCCCCAAAGATTATAAAACAGAGTCCAAAATCCTTAGGTCAGTGATTCTCAAATGGTGGTTTCTGAACAAGCAGCATTAGCATATCCTGGAACTTCTTAGAAATGCAAATTCTATAGCCTACCCCAGACCAACTGGATCAGAAACCCTGAGGGGTGGGGACAGCAAGCCCTTCAGGGGATTCTGACACTAGCTGAAGTTTAAGAACCACTGTCTTAGTAAAGGCTGAAGTTGCTCTAGCTGGTCTGTGCCAACTTTTCCAGCATCACTGGCTGTTACCTTGAGCCCTGGATTCTCAAAACCTCTTTCTGTCTTCTTCTGTTTCTGTTTTCTCCTGGTCCTGGCAGGTGTATTGGCCTTGTCCTTGATCTAAAACGTTTTAGGCCTAATTAGGCTAGGAAGAATGGCGTGCTCCATGTGGCCAATGCAGCTCAATTTTCCTGGCCTCCACTTTGAGTTTTGGTGATCATGCACTACCAGTACCATAATACTTAACAAACTTTATCATTGTCACTCCAGACTCTCAACAGGAGCAGTGATATCTGACATTTTTGGGTCTTTGGACATAATACTATCACAACAGCACAAGCCCTCTGCTTCCACCTCACTCCACAGCCAAACCTATTGATGGTATACCAGAAACCTCCATGTCATATAGCCTTTTCCCACATGTCTCCTCTATCTCTGGACAGTTCTTTTCAGTCATCTTCAAGGGATGATCTCCTCGTCTGTCTTTTACAATTGGCCATGCCTTTGGTTCTATTCTCAGCTCTCTTCTAACCATACATATTCTTCCAGGTGAAGTCATCAATGTCTACAGCTTCATCTATTGCCCCTGTGTGCAGATGGTGCTTACTCTCCCTTGTGCCTTCCAGACCTGCATTCCAGCCACCTACCAAACCCCTTTCCTTGGATGCCAAGGTACCTCACATACCAATTCTAAACTCAGTGTGTCAGATTCTGTGTCAGGTGTTTATATGCATCATCTTATTTAAACATCACAATAGTCCTACAGCAGCTATGGCTGACCACATTTTTTTTTTTAATTTTTATTTTACTTCAATTTCCGGGATACATGTGCAGAATGTGCAGGTTTGTTACATAGGTATACATGTGCCATGGTGGTTTGCTGCTCCTATCAACGTGTCATCTAGGTTTTAAGTCAGGCATGCATTAGGTATTTGTACTAATGTAGTCACTTTTTTTTTTTAAATAGATGAAAAAAAATTTATCTGTCTGAAGTGGCACAATGGTAATTTGAAGAGTGAGGATTCAAATCCAGATCTGTTTAAGTAGAAATTACATACTTGGACTTTTCATTTCAGCTTATTTATCTCTTTGTAGCTTTGCCACAGCCTCTAGTCACAAAGGGCCAACTATTCTATGCTGTTACTGTTTTAATTAAACTAATCATTTCATTTTTAAGAGAAAACATGGCTAACCCAAGAGGTTTCTATGCCTCTGATCTTACTCTGATCTTTCCATTCATCCTCCACATTGCAGCTAAGGGAATTGATTTTAAAGGAGAATCTGAAGCATGTCACCTATTGCTCCTCCCACAACCCCAATCCTAGCTTGCAATAATCTTTAGTTTTTAAGATAAAGCTTAAAGACTTAGAAGTCTTTTGTAATGTAGCTCCTGACTACTTTCTACTCTTATCTCTTGCCACTTTCTCATATGACCTGAATGCTGGCCATTTGCAGTTTTGTTGAATAGCATTTCTCTGGCGTGGTCACACACTGTTTCCTAGATACAATGGCCCATGCACTGTGCTAACTACTTTCCTATAGATTATATCATTTAAGCCTCACAACAATCCTGTTCGTAGATATGACCGTTCCTGTTTTAGAGATAAGGAAACTGAGACTCAGAGAGGTTCTACAACTTGCCCGCAGTCATACGACTGATAAGTGGGCTGATATTCTCAATGCATGCAAATACCATATTTATGTCCAAAATGGTATGTCTCTGTTTTGCTGCCCTTATGCCATTTAGCAGCTTACACTGGAGTCTGGGAAACTGTAGGGCTATAGTGACTGACATGCAGTGATTTTTCGTGGTTTGTCATCTGTTCTCTTTGATGGGTCCAGAAACTTAATCATGTCAGACATGATTTACACATGTCAGAAAATTACTAAACAATCTTTACTGGATGTTAAGTCCATGCAATCCTCTTTTTCATATTGAGAAATAATATATAGTTTGATTTTCGCCTAAATTCAAGATTTGTTTCATTTAAGTTTTCAAGTAATGGGTTGTGGGTCCAAAATTCCCAGACACGTTTGTACTATTTCAACGCCTTTCTTGCATAGTATTTCCAGTGGATGAAACAGTGCTGATTAAAGACTGGAGTCCTAGCATAGTGTCTTTCACATAAGAACTGTGGGATAAAGCTCAAGGGTTTTATTCTGACTGATATTTCCTAAGACCAAAGGCAAATCATAAAGTCTCCTTGTGCTTTGAGAGAATGAGATGCCACTCAAAAGAGCTCAGGATCCAAACCAAAGGAAAAATGCACATATACAAAAGTGAACAGAATAGTATTCTTAAGGCTGGAGATTGAAAGAAAAATGAAAAATTTGAAATATACTTCAGACCACTGTTATCATCATTGAAGTCTTCTATTTTCTAAGCCAACAGTGGAATGTCTGCTCTTTTTTATAAATGAACATTTGATTCAAAAGCAAACCTTAATGAATCTAATATAGTCTGATGTGGCTTGAACATCATGGTGTAGAAAAAAATGCAAAAATATTTCAGTTTTGGTGTACCTTTAATTAGATAATTGGCTATATAATAATGATGAGGTCTATTGCATGGTGTCTTTATAAACAATAAGATCGGTTGGGAAGGTATTTCCATTCATTTTGCACAGTGGAAAACTGAGGGGTGCTTTTCTTACTGTACGTAACTACTAAGGGAAAAGGTTAGTATTGAAATTTAGGCCCTCGAGTTACTATTCTAGAAATCACTTTTCCCACTTCCACGCTGTGCTTTTCTAAGTGGAAAATTATTTTATTGTTTTGAAATTTCTGGGTGACTAATAATGTGTTTCGACACAAATTCTAAGATCACTTCAATGATTTATCTGTTTTTCCAAAGATGTACTTAATTTAATGTCACACTGTATATTTATTATAGTCAATATGTTTCCCTGTATCTCTAGAAAAAAAACACTCTTCAATATTTTATGTGTTTTATAAATATCATTTATGTTTTACTTGAATATCACATAGCAGCTCATTTAGTGTATTTTTAAATTTAATCACCTAGAGAAAGTAGATATGTTTCCCCTTTATGTGTTAAGATAATTATTTCATTGTAATTCACAATGATCGACTTGATGTGAAAAGTTGACTGGTTGTTTAAGTGGAATAATTTTGACATTTAACAGCTACAGTATACTTTCTTTATCCCAGAATAACATGTCAGAGATTAAATTTTAACAAATTTCCTAATATGGAATAATGAATGAACAATTGAATCATCTGCATTTACTTTGCTTTTTCACCCTTAAGAACAACTAGTGCAAAATTTAGACTATGCCACAACTGATGTAGTTTCAAAAGATTTATTCTTTGTCAATAAAGGCTCCAGTCCTACAGTATACTTGAAAATGTTAAAAAAAAGGTAAAAAAGTTCAAACTACTGATACATGCTACCTTGGGGTGAATCTCAAAAATAGTATACTAAGAGAAAGATGCCAGTCATATAAGACCACATACTACAGCATTCCACTTTTGTTAAGTTTCAGAAAAGGCAAATCTAAAGGACTGAAAGAAAGTCATGCCAGAGCCTGGGCACAGGAATGGGGAGTAATGTCAATGAGTCAAAGTTTCTTTAGGGATGATGGAAATGTTCTAAAAAAAGATCATGATGATGGTTGCACGCCTCTGTAAATATACTAACAATCATCGAACTATACACTTAAAACAGGGGAATTTGATGGTATGTAAATTATATCTCAGTGAAGCTTTATAAAAATAGACGCAGGCTACAAATAGCTTGAGTTAACTAAGACTGATTCTCAAAATAAAATAAAGTTTACATCATTTATTGTATCAACACATGTATGTTATTCTCAGATCGAATGGAGATACACCATAGGAGGAAGACATGGCCTCGACTCGGAAATTTGCAACCAAACAAAAAAAATATATCAGCAAGCAGAGAACAGTATCCCATACACTGAATACTTCAAGCGTTAAGTGAACATGGAGTAAAATGGAATTATTATTTTTGAAACAACGTAAGTTACATTCTTCATTATTCTTTCTAAGACAAATGCTAGCCAGCCAATAGAATTTTCATCATCGCTTGGTTGTCAACAGAGTTACTGCTCATTGCAACCTAGACTCGAAATTCTGCCAACATTTTCTGTTTGAAATCCTATGAAAAAAAGGGGTGTGCATATAATTTTTTATTCTCAGCATATAGTAAAGGTATTGGACACATAGAACACACTCAATTTAAAACATTGTCAGTACAAATCAAGATGAATTCACAATCTCCAGTGAATCAAACAGGCATGTTCAGAAGCACAATTAAATAAGGCAGAACACAGTGAGTACTTGGACAAAATTTTATCACAGCATTAAAAACAAAAACCCAAATTCATTCTGATGGGTGCATGGGGAGGCACAGAGGAAGTGATGTTTGAATTGGGCCTTGAAGGATGAGTAGAGTGAAAGGATTTGTAAAGTTTTCAAAAATAGGATCTACTTTCCTATTGGTACCCTTTGAATCAAATCTAGAAATGGCAGATTGAAATTCTTCATTTTATTTCAAATGTCAAAATGTTCCAGAAAGATACATAATAAATATCAAGGTTAACCTAAGATCTTAGTTGTTTTGTAATTTAATATGATTGGATTGTGGAAAGAAAAGAATGTTTAGTTAAAATATGAGAAGAGAATAAAGTGGCCATATCTATTTTTTTATCTTCAGAAAAGTCTTCAGACCGTGGACAATGTACTCTTTGCCTGTATTACGGAGAAAGGCGTTCCCTAGGTAAGTATCATTCTGTCTTTCAAAACCTTAAAAATATCAGAGGGGGCAGAGAAACAACTTTTTCTTCTGACATTCACCTTTAAAGCATTGAATAGATGCTTATTAGAGAACTTTTAGAAAATATACTTTCTTCTAACTCAGTGAGATAATGAGCTCACCAGTAAAGATCTAGGCCTGCTCACACTAAGATATAAGTGGTTTGGAAGATTGAAAACTATTTCTGCAGCATATAATTAACTCTAAAATTATATAGGAACAAACGCCATGCCATACAATTTTTTAATATCTCTGTCCAAAATGTATAATTTGATTCTAATCATGAGGAAAGGCTAGGTGTGGTGGCTCATGCCTGTAACCCAGAGCAAAGGAGGCCAAAGTGGGTGAATTGCTTTAGGCCAGGAGTTTAGGGCTGCAGTGAGCTATGAGGTCACCACTGCACTCCAGCCTGGGCAACAGAGTGAGACCTTGTCTAAAAAAAATCATGAGGAAACATCAGTCAAACTTAAATTAAGGGACATTCCAAAATAATACTCAGCCTGTATTTCTTCTTTTTCTTTCTGGTTATCTTCCCTTCTTTCCTCTTTTCCACAATTTTGTTTTTTTTTAAATTATACTTTAAGTTCTAGGGTACATGTGCACATCATGCAGGTTTGTTACATCTGTATACATGTGCCATGTTGGTGTGCTGCACCCATTAACTCATGATTTACATTAGGTATATCTCCTAATGCTATCCCTACCCCAGCCACCCACCCCACAACAGGCCCCGATGTGTGATGTTCTCCTTCCTGTGTCCAAGTGTTCTCACTGTTCAGTTCCCACCTATGAGTGAGAACATGTGGTGTTTGATTTTCTGTTCTTGTGACAGTTTGCTGAGAATGATGGTTTCCAGCTTCATCCATGTCCCTGAAAAGGACATGAACTCATCCTTTTTTATGGCTGCATAGTATTCCACGGTGTATATGTGCCACATTTTCTTAATCCAGCCTATCATTGATGGGCACTTGGGGTGGTTCCAAGTCTTTGCTATTGTGAATAGTGCCACAATAAACATACATGTGCATGTGTCTTTATAGCAGCATGATTTACAATCCTTTGGGTATATCCCCAGTAATGGGATGGCTGGGTCAAATGCTATTTCCAATTCTAGATCCTTGAGGAATCACCACACTGTCTTCCACAATAATCAGCCTGTGTTTCTTCAAGAAATATTTCTTCAATGGCATGAATGACAAAGAAAAACTGTGAAATGGTTCCAGACTAACATGAACCTGGAGGACATTATGCTAAGTGAAACAGGCCAGGCACAGAAAGAAAAACACTGGATGATCTCACCTGTATGTGGAATGGACAAAGCTGAAATCGAAGCAGTGTACAGTAGAATGGTGATAACTAAGGTCTGCAGTGGGGAGGGTAGGTAGAATGGGTAGATGTTTGTCAAAGGGTACATGATTTCAGTTAGACAGGACGTCTAAGTTCTGAAGATCTATTGCATAGCATGGTGGCTATATTTAATAACTCACTGTATACTTTAATATTGCTAAAATGTTCTCACCACAAAAAGTGAAAAGGATATAGGTGATAGATATGTTAATTAGCTTGATTTAATCATTTATAGATGTATAATGTGTCAAAACATAATTATGTACATGATAAATACATGCAATTTTTGTTTGTCCATTATACTCTAGTAAAGTTGGACAGGTGGTGGGAGGAAGAAGCAGACTAAAGAGATAAAAAGTAAATAAATAAAATGAATGATCCTGGCCTGGATCCCAGACCAGAAAATAAGATTGGTACAAAGGACAATTGGTGGTGGCCTCTCCCAGCCCTGTCTAGTGGAACGAAGCCTGTGAAAACCTCTTAGAGACAAGTCCTCTCTCCAGCCCTGGTCCTCACCTCAACTCCTCCTCCAAGGGAGTGGCAGGAAGGATAATTGGTAAAATGTAAAGAAAGTCTGAGGATTAGAAAATAGTATGCATCAATGTTAAACTTCCCAATTCTGATAATTGTGCTATGGTTTCCTAGGATAATTTCCTTAGTTTTAGAAGATATTTAGAGTTTAAAGGGCATGATGTTTATAACTTACTCTCAAATGGTTTGCAAATGGCATAATAATATGTATATAAGCAAACACACACATACAGAGAATGAGAAAAGAAATATGGTAAAATGTTAACAATTGGTGAATCCAGGTGAAGGGTATGGGAATTATTTGCACTATGACAACTTTTTGGTAAACCTGAGATTAAAACAAAATATAAAAAGAAATTTATAGGTCTGCCTTAGGAGCTCTTCCAAGAAAACATACAATTTACTTAACCTTGAAGACTTAGTGGTCCTTTGCCACCAATTTTATTTTTCCACTTCAACTCTTAGAAACAGAATCCAACTCAGAAAGTAAGCAGATTTTCAATAAAACAAGTAATAACAAATAGCTTTTGATTCATTAAAAAAGGGAGTCAGATTGATTTGCATACTTTTATTTTTTAGTAGTGATCACCAGGCTTATATTCCTGATATCAAAGGTTCCTAAAAAATCATAGAATGGGCATTCATTTCTTTTTTTGGGAGAACAAATAAGACTCAAGCATAGAATGATCGCTTCAAAGGAAATTTAAGAATGAGCATGTCGTGTGTAACCAGGAAAAGATAGCATGAAAGAAATTCCCTATGTCTTGTCATAAATATTAAGTGGGATGAACCCATTGCAGATACCCGTTTCCCTGGAAACCCATTCAATTGAAATTGCTGCAAAAATTAACATGTATTATTTTTCCCTTAAAGGGCAGTAACTTCTTTTACTTACACAGTTTTGACCTTTAGTTTTATATCTTAGTCTTATTATAAGAAGTTGTTTCCAGAACTAGGCAAACAAAGAGTTGAATATGTATCTTTTCATTAGTCCTGAGGCTTAACCAAAATAGTATGGCCTTTATAGCTGTACTAGATGTCTGAGGCAACTACGGGTTGTTGGGGTACAATCTGCCAGTCATAGAATATTCCAATCTAGACTAATAAACCATCAACCCACACATGATATTCTTACTCAAATGCCAAGTGACTTTATCATATAGACAATTGAGTTAAACAGTCACATATGCAGCACAGCTCAGTATCTTAAGAGGCAGTGCAGTTTAATAAAGCCAAGTCCCTTGTATAAGCCCATACTGACAAATGTCATGGGGATAGAGGTTCACAATATACAATAATCCTATGTCAGTTCAGTGCCATGGAGAATAGCTCTGGACCATGGAGGATTTCTGACTCTAATCTTACTTGAAAAGCTCAGCTGGTTCTGAATTTCTGGGACCCTGGCAGTGTGGATAGAGGCTCATATTTGTTCCAGTTCAATCAAGAAGGCTGAACTGGCCAAGACCTGAAAGACCAATCTGTAAATACAGCTCAAATAACTGGAGAGAGAAACCAGCCCTGTGCCAGGTCATAAGCACAGGTGATATGGTTCCCCCATGTATGTGCCCCCTAGTCTGCAATGCCACTATCAGAGGCTACCTTTGGCATGAGGTTGCAGCATCTCCGGGGGTACATCCTCCGGGAGAGGTAAGGATGTAAGTCAGTACTGGTCACCAACAGTACTTCAGGGGAATAAGTTTTTTTATGGAAAATGAGAATTTTTCAGAAACTGAAAAGGAAGAAGCCTAGACTTGGTAGAGAACTGAAAATGGGTTTGGATAGCCCGAAGACTCCTATGTGCCTGGGAAAAAGATGTCCTCAAGGGAAGTAAGGACACTGAAAGAGATGGTTTAAGGCAACTGATTTTCCAACTTACCCTGGGACTGATACTATGTTTTCATGATGATCATATCTTGTTTTAGGGGGCTGGTAATGATTTAATATATTTTTCCTTGCCTTCCCCACAAGCGGAAATATGATTATCATATTGGAGGACCACTTTAAAAACGGAGTACAGATTCATCTCTTTGATTTCTTTGTGGTGAGTTAATCTCTGACTACGTTCTTTGTTGGAGAGAATTATTGATTTAGCCAAGGTTAAATAGCTGGTAAGTGTCAAAGCTAAGAACCAGTGGTCATCTGTCCTACACATTCTCCTATGTGTTTACTAAGTGCTGGGCAACATCCCTAAGATACCATGCAGCAGGCCAGCTGTGTAAGGTGAGGCCTTTGGGGATGTCTTGATAGCCTATGATCATTACGCCATTCACACATTTGTCTAGATTTGGCTGGAAACTCTTTGTAGTTTAAACCTATGCTCAGGGTCAGCCCTTGACAAACAATGAGATAGGTGACGTTTGTCTTTAGAGCCTTGACAATGAAGTGAGTGCTGCTCACACCCTGACAAGCTGCACAGTGTTACTTGTTACTTGGCAGTCCTGTTCCTTATTATTATTATTTTCTTTCTCTCTTATCCCTTGCTATCCTTACCCTGTTCATGGCCTCCTTCTAGTTCCATTCTTTCCATTGTCTTTATTGGACCCTGGCAAAAGTAAAAGGAATCTTATCCAATTCACCCATTTGGAGAAGGTAATGACTTGTTAAGATATTCAGCCAGTAAGTCTGCATTTTGAAAGACAACAATAGGAGGGCACTGATAGAATTATAAGCATTCAGGGCAACTTGTAGAAAATGTCCTGGGGAAGGGAAAGACTTTGAATTCCAGTGATCACCTACAATGTCTTTGTAAGGCTGACCCTCCCAACAATACCTTTCCACCTTCTATGCTAGGTACATCAGCCATCCACTTGTATCTGATTTTGTCTGAAAACTACTTGTTGGAAGAGTCACGGGATTTGGCTATTGCATCTCTTCTGTCTGCGTCCATAATATTCCTGGCTTTAGAAACTTCAATCCTGTCAGTCACAATTTAGTGGTTATTCTTACATGGGCATGCTACATTCCTAATGTCCAACGTGGTTCTCATAGTCTTTCTGGCTCACTGTAAGAAAAATAACTCCCATGTAGTGAGCACCCACTGTGTCCCATGAGATCATCGAAGAGCTTGTTTCTTTCCACAGTTCTATGAGGCAGGGTCCACATTTGACAGATGAGAAAACTGAGGCTCAAACAAACTAAGCGACTTGCCCAAGTTTCAACGGCTGGTAAGTGGCAGCACCAGAATATGACCTCGAACTGTATAAGTAGATACATGCTGACCCCTACTGCTCCCATCATGGCAGGTCTGACCGCCCTGCAATCTTTACCTGACAGTAGAGCAGTATTTCCTCTACAGTTTCAAATTCTTTCCTTTAGGTCTGGAATGTTCTTACCCTTTAGAGTTACAGGGGATTATAACAGTAGAGAGCTCTGACCCTGGGGCCAGATTGCCTGAGTTAGAATTCCAGTTCAGCTACTGCATTTTCCCCTTGATTTCTTATTTAAAGTTTTAAATTTTAAAAGAGTCTGAAAAAAAAAATA